GTCTTCTAACAATTTTTTTTACAGATTAGCTTTAAACTCATAAAACAAAAGCAGTGAGGTTGTTAGTTTCCACATACCTGCTTCTCCCACATCTCCTGTCCTTAACATCTCCTAGTCCTGTATTTGTCCCAACTACATCTGGAGTTTCTGTTATGTTTAAATCCAGGAAAAAGCCTGAACAAGTCTCAAACACAAACACCTGTCTGGACAGGCAGAAGGCAGAAATCCACTCGTGTGAGAGAGGGGCCTCAGGAAAAGACCCCCTCGGTGAGAGGGACGCTGTGGCCTCTGACGACGTCCGCTCAGTCCTCTCAGGCACGTCACGTTGGTCCCAAGTGCAGCTCTCCGGGAGAACTCTGCCTGGTACCCTGGCAGGAACCCTGTGTCTCACACGCAGTAAACCCTCTGTCCAGCAGAGGGCAGCGGGAGGAAAGTCAGAGCAGAGCCACTGCCTCTGAGCCTGTGCCCTGCCTCCTGCCTGGCATTCCCTTTGCAAACACCAGCCCCGCTTCCTGCAGTCTCAATGTCTGGGCTCAGGCTCCCAGATCCTGCTGGGACGGGTGCTGTCCGCGGACAGTGCCCTGCCCCAACAAACCTTGCTCCCCTGCTGCCCACTTCTCTCTGTCTCTCATCTGAGTTCTTTCTGAGATGAAAAGAACCTCTCTCTATGCTATCCATGTGGCCAGCAGTTCCAGACCCAGCCACGCTCCCCAGAACTGAGAGCAAGCCTCAGGAAGGAGGAGCATCCGACACCCAGGAGAGGCAGTGGGGGCGTGGATAAGCACCCCTGCTCTGCCTCTTTGGGCCCACTTTCCTGAAGAGTTTTCCCCAACACACCTGTAGCTCCCCTGGCTCCATTCCAAGCAGATTCCTCACACTGCAGTTCCAGTAACTGTGGTGTAGAGGGTTGCGCTGCTGTCTGCAGTGCAAGCAACTCATGGGGCGCCAGTTCAAGTCCTCACTGCTTTCTCCTGATCTAGTTCCTTGTAACTGGGAAGGCCCCTGCAGCCCTGTGGGAGACCTCCTGACTCCTGGCTTCGGTGTGGCCCAGTCAGCCACTGTGGCCATTTGGGGAGGGAAACAGCAAATGGAAGACCTTTCTCTTTCTTGCTCATTCTCTCTGCCTGCCTCCCTCCCTCCCTCTCTCTCTGTCTGCCTCCCTCCCTCCCTCCTTCTCTCTCTCCCTTCCTCCATCCATCTCTCTCTGCCTGCCTCCCTCTCTCCTTGCCTCCCTCCATCTCTCTCTCTCTGCCTGTTTCCCTCCCTGCCTCTCTCTCTATCGGCCTCACTCTATAGACACTGGGAAGTCTACATGACAGGTGCGGGGCACAGAACAGTACCAATCCCCAGTCAGCTTGGGGACCTAAGCCTGACTCGGGGGGTGGCAGCATAGGGACACAGCTTGGGCACCTGCTGGGAAGCAGAAGCTCAGGGCCACACCCCCAGCCCTGCCATATCCACATCAGGATCGGGAGCTTCACATACCACGAGGGCCTGCACACATGTGGAGGTTTGTCATTCCAGGCACAGAGCACAGCACAACAGCGCAGTGGAGTTGGGGCTGGTCTCTCTGCTGCGGCTTCAGCTCAGCCTAGAAACCCTGGGCTTGGGACTGGCACAGTACCCTCGTGGCTAAATCCTTGCCTTGCAACTGCTGAGATCCCATATGGGCCCTGGCTCATGTGCTGGCTGCTCCACTTCCTCTCCTGCTCCTCCCTTATGGCCTGGAAAGGCAGCTGAGGACAGCCCAAAGTCTTGGAACTGGAAGAAGCTCCTGGTTCCTAGCTTCCAATCGGCTCAGCTCCAGCCATTCTGGCCACTTGGGGAGTGAACCAGAGGACAGAAGATCTTTCTCTCTGTCTCCTTCCCTATGTAGATATGTCTTTCAAAAAAAAAAAGAAAGAAAGAAAGAAAGAAAGAAAGAAACCCTGGGCTTTTCCCCCCAAGTTCACTTATTTATCTGCTCAAGGAATAAGACAGACAAGGAGTTCCCATTCAGCGGCTCACTCTTAAATGCCGACAACTTCTGGGATGGGCAAGTTCAAGGCTGTGAGCTGTGCATGGAACCCAAGTCTCTCTCTGCACCACAGTCCCTCAGGACCAGAAAGCTAGCAGGCATTCTCATGTGGCTCCCACATCTGGGCCAGACACTTTGCATTAAGCCCTGCCTCCTGCCATACAGGAGGCACCAGGTGAAGGTCGCAGCAAGGGCCCATGGAGGGGCACTGCTCCCAGGAGGCTATGGGAACAGAGACAGTGGCCGATGGGGTGCACTGTGGCCACGAGACACAGCCTGCGCTACAAGCCAGGCCTGTTTGCGTTGATGGTTATTAGCTTCATGCCGACTGTGGCTATTTGGAATTTAATCATCCCAGAACCAGAGATGAAGCAAGACTTATACACTGTATCAGCTAGGCCAGGAAATTAAAGAAGGGAGAGAGAAAAGCATTGCAGCCCAGCTGGCAGTCCTCTCCCTGCACCCCATGTCCTGCCCCAGCCAGAGGCCACGCCTGTGCAGCACGGATGATGTAAATGCAAATCATCTCGGAGCCTCTGTGTTGTGGGAGTACAGCGCCTACAGCGGGTACTGGCATCTACCAAATGCGACAGACCAGACTCGCTTCAGGCCTCCGAGGCCACACAGCTTTCAGAAGCGAAGGCTAGCGGGCCAGCACATGGCATAGAAACTTCAACCTCCACCTGCAGTTCCAACATCCCCCACGGGCACCGGTTTGAATCTCAACTGCTCCACTTCCAATTTAGCTCCCTACTAATGGGCCTGAGAAAGCAATGAAGGGTTGCCCAAGTGCTCGGGCCCTGTGAGAGCCCTGGGACGAGCTTCAGATCAGCTCAGCTCTGGCCACTGCAGTCATCTGTAGAACAAACCAGCAGTTGGAAGATGGCTTTCCTCTGTAGTTGCAACTTTCATATAAAAAATTAATAAAAGTCGGGGCCGGTGCTCTGTGGCTAGCTATCTCTCCATCCTCTATCATGCCTGGCCCGCTGGCCCCAGTCTTCAGGCTTTGTGCCACCTGGAGACGCCTGTGGATGGCTGCAGAATCAGTAGTCAGGTGCTCTGGTGCCATACCCACAACTTAGGAAACTCAGACAAAACAGGTGGAATGACTAGCAAGGAGACATCTGGCACCCAGAAGTTTCTGAAACAGCTCCACCCCCATAGAACCTTCCTTTCCCTTCTCATGTCCTGTCTCTCCACCACATGGCTCCACCATGAACACTGTTTTTAAAAGCAGCACCACCAGTGATGCACACAGTGACCACGCCATGTACAGCGTCTCTGGCAAAAGTGATCTGTGAAAATCAGCTGTGGTTGTTTTTCATCAATATTTACATATTTTTTTCAATTTGAAAGAGAGAGACAGCTCCCATTGCTGGTTCACTCCACAGATGCCTGCATAGCGGGCAAGACCAAACCCTAGAGCCAGAGTCCAAGCCTCCCACGGTGGCGGGGACCTAGCCACACCCTGCCTCCCCTGAGCAGGAAGCAGCATGAGGAATGGAGGCAGGACTCGGACCCAGGGACCCTGAGCCGGGATAAGAAAGCCCCAAGCAGAGTCTTATTGTTTGTGCCAGATATTTACCCATATTCTGATCACTTCTTGATTAAAGGAAGCCCACAGATGGCTGTAGTGCAAATCTGAAAAGCGAGCTGGTAACATTCCAACAGTCTAATGCATAAGCGTGGAGCTGTTGAAAAGTTCAGGCTGCTTGGAGTCCAGTGTATTTATATGTTTTTATTAGATGTGATTGAAATATGCAAAAAGAGGAATAAATGACTTTCCTGTTTGCTTCATCTGCAACTGCAGGCTAGGCCCCACAGATGCCACACAAGAAATTCACATTGCATCTTTAAGTGAAGCATAACTTTAATGATGAATAATTCAAGAGAATAACTGGAGACCAGAATAATTTTTCAGAGCCATTTTTTTTCACTGGATAGGAAGTGTTAGTGGAAAAGTACTCACCTATTTATTTGGCCATTTTCTACTTCAGTGAAATCGTTGGAATCGTTGCTAATGTTGTCGTCCTCCGGCACCGTCATGTTCTGCAACTCGGTTAATTCCAGCCCACTTTTGAAATGCATCATGACTGGAAAGTTGCTGCGGTCCTATCCCTTCTTGCGGGCGATGCTTCAGGGGCAGACAGCGGCGGGCACACACTCAGTACCCTAGGAGCAGAAGACAGCATCACGCCGCTGCCAAGCAGCACTGCAGCGAGGCAACCTGGACATTTTGCTACGAGAAATGTTGAAGCAACCTGTGTAGTTCAAGTTACAGAGGCAAGCCTGGAAATCCCAGGGCCTTCATTAACTCCCCCGATTTTCAAAGGCTTTGTGATTTGACCATCCCGCAGGAGCTGCAGGCCTTGGATGAGAGTGCCTCGAGTGACAGCGATGCCACTTTGTGACACAGCACGCATGCAGTTGGGCCCAGACGGCCTGGGCGCTCACACGTCTCTGCTTCAGCAACGCAGCTTAACGAAAGCCCAAATAAATCCTCAATAGACAGCACCGCCAGACCTCCGCCACCCAACCTGGGGACCAAGCTGCAGAGGATAAGGCTGTGCTTGCAAATCCAGCAAGTAGTTTATCCGTCCACTACAACAGATTAAATCAAGGTCTGAGTGAGTCACTTCCGGGAGGGATTGGGATAACCCACCTGCTCCGGCATCTCCCCAGCAGAGTCCACATTCTGTCCTCCATGGACGCTGTGGCTGAATGTCCTGAGCGCCACCAGCAGGACAGTGAGGACATACCAGGTGCGGGACACACAGACATGCTTTACTTGTCAGAGATTTATTACTTCTATTTGGAAGGCAGAGTTGGGAGAGGCTTTCCATTCCTGGTCCACTCCCCAAATGGCCACCAAGGCCAGAACTGGGCACTCTGAAGCCAGGAGCTTCTTCCAGGTCTCTCACATGGGTGCCGGAGCCCAAGCACTTGGGCCATCTTTAGCTGCCTTCCTTAGTGCCTCAGCAGGGAGCTAGGTTAGAACAGCCAGGATTCGAACCATGCCCCTGTGGGCAACACAAGCTGCAGCTTTACTCACTATGCCATGGCGCCAGCCCCAAGCCGGACACTTCCAAAAATGGGTGACTGCGTCTGTGGGACCCTCAGGGGTGTGATGGGGCTGTGGGACCCTCAGGGGTGTGACGGGTGTGTGGGACTCTCAGGGGTGTGATGGGCTATGTGGGACCCTCAGGGGTGTGACAGGCTGTGTGGGACCCTCAGGGGTGTGATGGGCTATGTGGGACCCTCAGGGGTATGATGGGGCTGTGGGACCCTCAGGGGTGTGACGGGGCTGTGGGACCCTCAGGGGTATGACGGGGCTGTGGGATACACAGGGTGTGAGATCCACTTTCATAGCCTTCACAGGTAAAGCTCCGGTCGACGCTCTGATTCTGCTGCTGACCCGTACTTCCAAGAAGACCATGAGCTAGCCAAGTGTCAGCAGCCTCTCAGTAAGCAACACACCACCAGGTTCCCCCAAGGACACCCCGGAAAGACATCTTTCTACTGCAGCCACCCCCTATTCCCTCCCATCATAGGATCCCTCAACACCTCCCTGCACCCCACCCTCCATGGGCCAGGGCTGGGCGCCCAGAGGGTGGGAAGCCAGGCTGGCAGCACCAAGCTCATGTTCCTGGCCCAAGCCTGAGCTTGGTCAGCTCAAGCTGCCTTCAGGGCCCAGCAGAAGTCCACTCTGACAAGGCTGAAAAGTTCAAAAGGGCAGATCCCACTCCCACAAACCTGTTCCCCCTGATGAAAGCTGTCCGCTCGGGCTCCACAAGCAAAGATCTGACCCCTTGTCCTACAGCCTCAATGAGTACTGGAGGGAGGGTGCAAGTCTGAGGGGACATTCACTCAGCAGGTGCACTCCTGGTCTTGCTCTCTGTAGATGCAAAGAAAACAGGGTACCAGGGTTGGCCAGCACTGGACTTGAGGTCTGCCGCTGGAATCTGAAGTTGCCTAACCTACTCTGGTGAGCATGTGTGTACGCAGATCAACATGCCCGGGCTGCAAGTGGAGCAGCAGATGCAAGAGCTCAATCTCGCTCTCCCGTCTGCGACTCTGCCTTTCAGAAAAGCTAACACAATCTTCAAAAAAAACAGTTCCCCACGCAGGACAGGTTGCTTACACCATGGGCCTGGGCAGGCTCGGGGTTGGGAAGCACAGAGGGCACACTGGCCAATGGAACCCGGCTGGCCATGCACCAGGACAAGCACACCACACCCAGACTGAACACGGCCATTAGACTTGCCCTCACAAACGAAGACGAAGCCAGCAACGTGCCTGGCAGCACCACCAACGTGGCAGCAACAGGGGAACCATTGGGATCGGCCTGTCCATGTCACCTGCTCACTGAGGGCTGAACCAGGAGGGGATTCCAAGGGCTCGGCAGCCGTCTGGACCCCAAGACTGAGGGTCACACGCAGGGGGCCGTCTGCACTAATCCTGCTGTCCTGCCGCCCCTCCAGCCCTTCTCACTCTGCTGCAGCTCCAGCCCTTCCCCTCACAGCTCTTTATTTACCGCTGGCAACTTTAGCTTGTTCTTCATCTACAATTTTTGATGACATAAATGCTTTGAAAAACAAGATTTTACAAAGCACACAAAGTTCCATATTAACAAGTAACATGGGTTTCTCGAGAACACAGTTTTGGAAATGGATGAAACAAGGAAAGATAGGAAGTGCATCACCTCTGCCTCGGAGCAGAGGCCAGCATGGCCTAGCCATGTCCCTCTGCAGGAGACTTGGCCCGCAACATGGAAGCCAGAGGCTGCAGCGCCAGCCGGACTCAGGAAGTAAGAATTAGACAAGACATGCCATCGGACTGTGTGACTGTGACACGGCCATCGGACTGTGAGACTGTGACACGGCCATCGGACTGTGAGACTGTGACACGGCCATCGGACTGTGTGACTGTGACACGGCCATCAGACTGTGAGACTGTGACACGGCCATCGGGCTGTGAGACTGTGTGACTGTGACACGGCCATCGGACTGTGTGACTGTGACACGGCCATCAGACTGTGAGACTGTGACACGGCCATCAGACTGTGAGACTGTGACATGGCCATCGGACTGTGTGACTGTGACACGGCCATCGGACTGTGAGACTGTGTGACTGTGACACGGCCATCGGACTGTGAGACTGTGTGACTGTGACACGGTCATCAGACTGTGTGACTGTGACACGGCCATCGGACTGTGTGACTGTGACACGGCCATCGGACTGTGAGACTGTGACACGGCCATCAGACTGTGAGACTGTGACATAGCCATCGGACTCTGCTAGTTAACTAGCTAGCAGGTATTCCAACGCGAGGAAACTGAGAAAAGTCATGGAAATCGGAGCAGTCCATGCATGGCTTTCATCTATGCCCTCGGGGACCACCTCTCCAATCCATCTTCCACAACCTTCAGAAATCTCGACTCCTGACTTCCCCACCATGGTGGACTGCCTGCTCACTGTAGATCCCCACCCCTTTCTCCCTTTCTAGGCCAGTTCTGTGAACCATAGAACATTGGAAACCCTGTTCCTCATGCCCACAGCAGCTGGAGTTCCAGATCCTACTGGTCCAGCTCTGGCTCCAACTGTGACCATCAGCCCAGCTCCACTGTGAGTGCCCAACACCAGCGACAGCACCTGGAGCACAGAACCAAGCCAGCTGCGTCCTGATGCAGGCGGGGCAGCCTTAGGCTTTCCCAGGCCCCAGGCACTGCCCTCCTGCACCACGTGCCCTCTGCTTCTGAGAAGGAATATCAGATGCAGATCCCAGACCTTTGGGAGACAGCCTTGGCTTTACACATTCCATCAGTTAAAGTGCTTTGAACCACGAGAAATTTTAAACACATAAGTGGAGAACTCCGAGCTCCAACACCAACAGTGATGGTCCAGGCTGGCCTCCCCACATTTCCTCCTCCAGTCCCCGAGAACTGCTTTGTAGCGAACTCCAGGAGCCACATCACCCGAAACACAGGCCCTGAGAGTCAGCACACCCTGAAAACTACAATCATTCTTTATTATTAATATCACTGCACATTCAGCCTCATACTCTTTGTTAAGAACACAGGGTGTCAGAACATCCCTACAGCAACCCTGCAACAACCCAGTAACAACCGGGGGCGCACATGTCACCATGGCCCTGTACAAGCACCCGCTATGTGCATACAGCCTAGGGTCAGGCTCAAACCTGCAGGTGTCTCTCAGATGCCCGTGGAGTCCTCCACACTGCTGACAGGTTCACTAACAGCCCTCCCCAGACACGGAGCCTGCACCTGTGAAGCCAGCCAAGCGGACAGTGACCTCTGGGTCCCCTCGCTGGTCAGGAAACGCCCATCAGTTTGCTCCCATCCCCAGTTCACACAGCCCTACCCACATGGGCATCTAGACTTACTGTCCTAAAGCAAGTGTGATCCTGAGTTCTTCTGCCAGCTTCCAATCTGTGAGAGGGCATGGATGCCAAGCGGCACCTTGGCCTTACACTTTTAAGTTATTATTTATTAAGCAGAATTACTGGGGAGGGGGAGAGAATGAGAGAAAGAGACAGAGAAACAGTCAGAGGGTTCACTCCACCAACGGCTGCAAACAGCCAGGGCTGCAGCGTCTCCCACACGCAGCCAGGAGCTCAAGCGCCTGAGCCAGCCTCAACTGACTCTCATGCATCAGTAGAGAGTTGGCTCTGAAGTAGAGCAACCAAGATTTGATTTGCCATTCAGACACAGGATGCCAGAGTCACAGGCAGCGGCTTAACATAGCATCACAACACCTCGACTTTTCTTGTTCCTTTTTTTTGGAAAAACATAAATGCCATGGCAGCCAAGAGAGGACCATACCAAGAGAAGAAACCTGGAACTTGACCGAGTCTCCCCTGTGGGTGGTATGGATCCAAGTCCTTGGATACTCAGCTGCTGCTTCCCAGGGAGCACTCAGCAGGTGTAACAGCCCAGCCACTGCACCAAGTGCACGTGACCCCCCTTTGAGTCTAATCGTATGGATGTTGCTTCAACACTGCAGACTGAGACATTACACATCTGCAAGAATGGGGAGGCTTAAGAAGGTCATGGACGTCTGCCTGCAAATCAGACACTCAGTACACATGGTGGACACTGTGAAGTGGCCCCCACTCCTGATTTTCCCTGAGTCTACCACTCAGTTTCTGTTAGATTTGATCTGGGTGGGTGGGGTGAGATGCCTCAGAAGTTGTGAAGCAAGGGACCCAGAGCAATGGCTCGATGGCTATATTCTCACCTTGCAAGCACCAGGATCCCATATGGGCACTGGTTTGTATCCTGGCTGCTCCATTTCCCATCCAGCCCCTTGCTTGTGGCCTGGGAAAGCAGTTCCCAAAGCCTTGAGACCCTGCACCCGTGTGGAAGACCTGGAAGAGGTTCCAGGCTCTTGGCTTCAGATTCACTCAGCTCTGGCCGTTGTGGCTGCTTGGGGAGTGAACCAGCAGATGGAAGATCTTTCTCTTTGTCTCTCCTTCTCTCTGTATATCTGATTAAATAAATCTTTTTTTTAAAAGAAAGCTATGAAGCACCGTATTCATGGAAAGTATTTTTTATGCACATCCTGGCCACGGTGCCTGGGATGCTGAACAACTTTAGCATGACTTCCAAAGTGCAGGTCAAGATGAAAGTAGTCACACTCGTCAGATTTTTACCCCTCTGGCCCCTCGGGACACTTGGCAGTGTCCAGGCAATGTACGGCGTGGGAGAGGAGGTGATGGTCATATATCCAGGACAGGGCTCGGCCCAGGAGCGGTGCCCAGGCTGAGGCCCTGAAAAAGCCGCCAAGGACAAGGGGGCTGGCCTCTATCCCCCAATGGACTGCCGCCATGTCCCACGTTATCCCTAGCACCCAACACCTGCTCCCATGTCACCCCGAGCTTCTATGTCTTGTTCCCGTGTCACCTGTTACATGTCTGTGACCAACACACCCAGTCTATGAGACTGGAATTCACTGGTTCATAGCCAGATGCCTAAAACTACTCTCATTTCTTAAAAACAGAAAGCACTAATAAACTCCAGAAGCTAATTACGTCAACCTCTAACCAGATATAGGAAGACAGATTGCCCATTGCATTAAAAACAACACACATTTGACATTTAACTTAATTAGAACAGTTAAGTTCCTAGAAATTGGAATCCATGCAGCTTCCCCTCTCCTCCCCTCTCCTCCGAACATGTTTTTTTTCAATAATCATTTTTAAAACTGTTGTATCTGAGTATTTTTTCATCGACTGCAAACCCCACGAAGCTGAAAAGAGCCCAGGGAAGTTGAGCCACTAGGAAAACCGCTTATCCTTGCTAAGTCTTCTTCTGACTTTGTATCTCTGCTCACAGATTGGATTTCAACTAGGAACAGTGGAGCTGCGAGCCGCATGTGCAAGGTTGGACGCTGAGGTCTGAACACCTGCCCCCTAGCAGCACACATGTCCAAACCCAAGGAGAGGGACTTGAGGACCGTGTAGACCAGCAGTTCTCAGTTCCGGTTGATGCTAGAATCTCCTGGGCAGCTTCAAAGCCAATCCTTGGGGCTGGTGGCATGCTGTGGCAGTCAGGGTACCACCTGAGACGGCCCGGCCTGCACCGCCCGAGACGGCCCGGCCTGCGCTGGAGTGAAATCCAGCCTGCAACACAGCACAAGTTCAACCATTCGAGATCTGCACCCACATGGGAGACCAGACTCAGTCCCAGGCGCTTGGCTTCCATCAGCCTCAGCCATGTCTGCTGCAGTTGCTCCAAGTATCAGCAGATAGAAAAATCTCTATTCTTCTGGCTTTTAAATAAATTCAGAAAACAAAAACAAAATCATGAAAACCCAGTTGCTGTGGTGAGGAGCTCTCGCACAAGGGTTGCTGACCCCTCAGTGTGGATGGGCTGCAGCCTGGGGCTTCTCCTGTCCCCCGAGAGTGGGCTCCTAACATGTGGCAGCAGTGAGGCTGTGCAGTTAGACTCAGGATGTAGTAAATCGCACCTGGCGCCCAGGGAGGTCAGCGAGCCCATCTTCTCCCTGTCCATCAGCCACGGCAGAGAGCTGGACTGCTCACTTTTGTTTCCCAAGAAATGTCAGGAAAGCAGAGGTTAATTATCAGCACCTAACTCCAAGGCAAGTTTGAAAAGAAGATGCAGGCCAGGCTTACAGGGGTCTGCAGCCCCTGCCTCAACAACACAGCCTGCCTCCAGCTCCGCCCACTCTGCCCCCTTCTTGTTCCAATGTCTCCTTCTTTTCCAGTTGTCTGGGAAACTCCTGAGACACGGAAACTGAGATCCACACATTAAATGTGTATGTGGCCGGCTGTGTCTCTGCTGGGTGGCCGTAACCTGACGCTGTGCCCATGAGGTAAGGGGCTGGACTGCCCACAGGGGCACTGTGGCCTCCGCACCCAGCAATGGGCCTCACGTGACTGGATTCTTGCAGGGTGGTGGGGAGAGGTTCTCCGTGTTAGCTCAAATTAGCCACTGTATCTTGCTTTTTATTTTTTTAAGTTTTATTTATCTTTATTGGACAGTCAGATACACAGAGTGCAGGAGAAACAGAGAGGAAGATCTTCCGTCCACTGATTCACTCTCCAAGTGGCCAGAGAGGATGGAGCTAAGGCCAATCCAAGGCCAGGAGCCAGGAGCTTCTTCCAGGTCTCCTAGATGGGTGCATGGTCCCAAAGCTTTGGGTCATCCTCCACTGCTTTCCCAGGCCACAAGCAGGGAGCGGGCTAGGAAGAGGGGCCACTGGGCCATATGGGATCCCAGCGCGTGAAAGGTGAGGACTTTAGCTGCTAGGCTACTGTGCTGGGCCCGCTATCTTGTTTTTAATCCCTGAATCTGGGTTTAGTTCGGTATCAACTCAATCTGAACCCCTGGAGATTGGAGTCCAGAGACCCCCACAACTGCAGGATGTTGGAGGTGGCTACCGAGGGGTCATCACGGTGGCACAGTGCGTAAAGCCATCTCCTCTGGCACCAGCATCTCATGTCCCGGCTGCTCCACTTCCATCCAGCTCCCTGCCTGTGGCCTGGGAAAGCAGCGGAGGACGGCCCAAAGCCCTGGGACCCTGCACCCACACTGAACGAGCCAGAAGAAGGCCCTGGCTTCCAGCTTTGAATTGCCCAACTCTGGCTGTTAGGGCCATTTGGGGAGTGGGCGAGTGGATGAAGAATCTCTCTCTGCTTCTGTCCCCTCTCTATAATTCTGCCTTTCAAATAAATAAGTAAATCTTTTTTTTAAAAAAGTTAAAACACAAAATATTTTTTAAATACAGCTATCTTAAGAAAATAAAAGTTTGTGAAACACTAAGTAGCCAGAGAATCACGAAATATTACCGGCCTAACTTCACTGCCCAGCTTTCTCCACTGTCTGCGAGACAAGAATCCTCTTCAGCTGAACCACCACAGCGTGCTAACAGCACGCACATGCTTCTTGCCCAGTATCTGCCCGAATTCTTCCAGAAACTCAGAAAGGTACCCCATCTCCATCATCATCATGCCCTTCCACCACGGCGAGGCAGGGAGGTGGCCAGGCCCGGGGGTGGGGGTGCCGAGAGAGGGAGAGCCCAGCCAAGCGCCCATGCACGCCAAGGCCCAGAGCCCGCCTGGAGGAGGGCACAGCGCCCGCCGTAAGGGGTGGGTGGGAGGAAACCCAGCTCAGAGCAGGAGGAAGAGCCATGAGCCAGCCCCAAGAGCCGCCGAGGAACTTAGGGGGACCCGCCGGAGGCGTCTGGAAGCGCCATTCTTAAAGAACTGAGTTTTAGAAACACAAAAGCGGCTGTGCGCCCTCGGAGCCTGCTGTTCCGGCCTCGGCCGAGGCGGAGACGTCTGCCTCCCCTCCCCAGCGGTAAACATTCCTAAACACAGTCATGGTTCCGAGCATGGCCCCCAGCCGGCCACCCCAGATCCGCGGGGCGGCCCTCACTGAGCCGGTCTCGCTCTCGACCACCCGGCCCCCTCCCCGCCTCGCACCCGGAGCTGTATTCCCGGGGATCCTCACCTGTTTCTGGACCCTCAGTCCCCAAGCCAACACCCCCACGGCTGCGTCGGAGCTGGCCCACTAGCGGGGACCCAGCAGTGCCGGCGGGAGGACAGGTTTGAAGGGCGTTTGCCAGGATCTGCGCAAGGCGCGTGACCGGAGCGGACGGCCAGGGAGAAGGCAGCAAGACCGTGGAATTTCACACTGGGATGGGCGGGGGTGGGAGCGGAGGCCCCACGTCAGCACCCGCGAGAACCGCCAGGGCAGAGGGTCCTGCCAAGACGAGTGCCTCCCGGTGACTGCGCCGGACCGAGGGGCGCCTTCCGCCGCCGGCCTTGCCCCCTCCCCCACCGCAGAAGCCACAGGCCACGCGAGACACTCCGGACCCCACCAGCTCCCGCGGGGTCGCTGGCTGTCGCGCCCCCACACTGAACATCCTCACAGCACTCCGGGACAAAGGCGCCCGCGCTCGGCGTCAGGCACGTCCCGGCTTTACCTGCTCTCCAGGGCAAGGGTCTGCTTCCTGACGGTGGACCCCGCCAGCAGCCTGCCGGAGCTCGAACCACGTGCCCGCGCCGCGAGCGAGCACCGCGCTGGGACTGGGACTGCAGCCAGGCCGGGGACAGCCCGGGCGCGGAGGCCACCGAGGGGCAAGCACGCGGGCGGGCAGACTGCGGGGCAGCCAGCCGGCGGAGTCGCGCCCACGTCTAGGGGATGGGGCACGAGCCTCCGCCGCCCCCCGTGCCCTCTGACGTGCGGGGAGCGCTTCGGCGGCCCAGGTGACAAAGTGCGGCAGCCAGAACCGCGCGCTCTGCGGCCGCGCGTCGGCACGGAGCCTGGGCGCGCAGCTGCCGGAACGGCCCCGGGAGCACCGAGAGGCCCCGGCCCCGCACCAAGCACGCACCGCGGCGCCCAGGGGTCGCGAGCCCCTCGGCCCCGACGCCCGCGCCTCCGCGGCCCAGGAGCGCGCACGCAGCGAGCGCGCGCATCGGTGGCGGCGCCGAGCCCGCCGGCCTCCGGTGGGGTTTGTGGCTGCGCTTGGGCCCCCGCGAGCGCTGCCGGGGAGGCTCCGCACGAGCCGGGCCTTCTCTCCGCGGCTCGGGCTGCTCCCGACCAGCGACAGGCACTCGCGCCTCCTCGGTCTGCGAAAAGGCTCCCCGGGCGGCGCGGCACCTGAGCCGCCGCCGGGACTCTGGAGCCGCGCCCGGGCAGCCTCCTCTTCCGAGGCCCTGGGGACGGCAGGCCACGCACTCCGGGCTCGCTCGCTGTGCCCCGCGCGCTCGGGAACTGCGTGCACGGGCCGCGGATTTCGTACGCTCCTTCGGCCGGCTGCGCGCGAGCCCCAAATCCCGTGGAGCGTGGTCCTGGAAAGGTGTCCCCGGGGCTCCCGCGGACCCGGACTTCCCTTTCCCTGAAAGCAGCACGGCCGACCGCGCGCCACGGGGCGTCGGGCGAGGCCGCTTGGCTCACTGCTAGCTGACGGGGCTCTACCATCCAGCCCTCCGCGAAAGGAGGAAGTGGCAGAGGCGGCCCAGGAGTCCCCCGCCCCGGACCTCCGCGCCCCGGCCTGGCCACGCGCCCCGGCCGGCTCACCTGGAAAGGCGAAGGGAGGCAGATGCACATGGGGGCTTGATAGTCCCTTGAGATCTGCAGAGGACGTCTAGTCCCATGGCAGAACAAATTGGACAATTCTCCCAGCCTAGCTTTGACGGCAAGCATCTGGGTGAATGGAGACCCTAAGAAGGACTATGTCAGCCGATGGAGCTTGGAAGGATTTCATCTTTAGAGCAACGAAATCACCAGCATCTCAGAACTAGTAAAATCACTTGATCAGTACTCTCAAAGTGTGCAGAGGACCCTGGAGTGGCATCGGGTGGCTGTCCCCAGCCCCGGGCACTGATGCGGTGAGGCCAGGCCGCTGGGAGCGGCCCTCTCCTCTCGCTTCCCCCTCCCCCAGATACAGGAAGAAGAAAAAGAAAATTGGAAACAATGGTCTCATTCACTTTCCCCCATCCCTCAACCCTTCTCACCCCATCAGTCGTTCACGTGGACATGCATCCTTCTCAACTATGAAAACACCGTCAATTATAAAATTTTAGAAATGAAAGAAGCGACGCGCGCAGGCCCCAGCGACCTTGAGGCGTGTGGCACGGAGGGCCGGCCCCGCTCTTTCTTTCCTACCGCCTGATCAGAGCACTCATCCGCCCACCCATCCCCGTCGCGCGGGGTCCCGCCACAGCCATCCTACCGGGGCAGCGTTGCCCTTCCGTCTCCGTGGCCCGCGGGCGTCTAGCAGGAGAGCCGGGCCATTGCCCGCGGCCGCGTGCCGCTCTAGAAGCACGGCTGCGAGTCTCGGAGTTGGGCGGGTCACGGGGTGCGCCCGCCGGCGGCCGCGTCTTCTGCCTCCCGCCAGCGCGGCGGCCACGGCGGGTCTGCAAGGGTGGGAGGGGGCGGGGCGGCCGGGTGGACGCAGGCGGGACCCGAGGATGCAGACAGCGCGGGGAAGGCAGGCCGCGCTGCGGGGGAGGGCTGGATGCATTTTGGGGTGCATGGGGGCAAGGGGACGCTGCGCTGTGAAAGAGCGTGGCCACGCATCCAGCCGGGGGCCCCGCTGATGGCAGACGGGCCAGGCCCGGCCGACGCGAGCGCCGAGGGAACAAGGCGGCACGCGGGCACCTTCGGAGGCCTTTGTTCCTGCTCCTGGGTGGAGGCGCCGCCCCTTTGCGGGATGCAACCCCGCAGGCTCGGCGCCCCCCCGCCTGCCCCAGGCCTTTGGTCCGAGCTCGGATCTGGGGAGCGGGTCGGGACCGGGAGCCTTGCGGAGCTCCTGGGCACGCACTTGGCTGGCAGCGCCGCCCAGCTGCTCGCGTTTCCCCGCACACCCTTTGTTCTGCGCCCGCCGCCGACCGCCCTGCGTGCGGTTCCTGGCGGAGCTGCCTCCTTAAAATGGAGACGGAAAGCCTCACCTGCGCGTCCGCCGGTCGCAGTAGCTGCCGTGCCAAGCTGCGGGGTGGTAACGTGGTGCGGCACCCAAATCTCCTAGAAGCCGGGCGGGACGGTGACTCAGAGCGTCCCTGCCCCCTGCGGCTGTTGTGAGGTGGTCACCTCGGGAAAACCTCGCGGGGTCTTCCAGCGGCACCGGGGCCCTGGCTTCATCTCAGAGACGCCCACCCAGGTGGGACAGCGCTGGGCTTCTCTCTCTCTCTGACTTCAGTGGAGCCTGGGCCCTGCACTCTCTGGATTCGTGATCAAGTCCCAGCAGACAGTGGACGCTTCCTCGCTGCCTTCCCCACCCAGGCTAGTTTACTAGGGAGAGGAGGGCTGGTGTGCAGGGGCACCTTACCTGGCCCAGGTGATCCTTGGATTGGGGAACTCAGTTGAGTACGTTGGGTGGCAGACCCAGCCTGCTGTAATGTCCCCCTTGTGCAGGAAGGTGCAGCCATCAGCATATGCTCCATGGAAAATCTGGGGCCCGGTACCCCCAGCTGCAGCCCAGACTTTGTGGCTGGGACGTCACAGAACTTTGCTTGGTCAGAGAACTGTGGAGTTCTGGTCCTTCCCTAGAGATGACGACATGCTGACCCCACAAATCAGGAAAGCAGCTTTGTCATGAACCCAGCCTGTTGAGGCCATCACCTGCCCTGCACCCAGGACTTGGGATGGGGCTGTGCTCACCAGCTGGGGTGGTGCCTCCTTCCTCACCTGACTGGTAGCAGAAAAACTGACTCTGATCTGTAAAGTCCCCCAGGGACTCTGGCAACCTTTCTGTGACCCCCAACTTCGGCCTGGGTCGTGCTGGCGAGTCATCCGATCATTCCTTTTCTACTTGGGAGCTGGGCTGGAGTTCATGAGGGACTATGATGGATAGCAGCTGGGATCACGGCTGTCAAGTTCCCTAAAGACCCAGCCAGGTGCTCCGGCCCAGGTGGATGGCTGCTTGTGGCCTTGTATGGAGCCTCATCTTCTTGGGGTGCGGAGTGGGCCGCTGGGGCCTGTCTGGTACTTCCCAAGTTCAGTGTCCTCAGGTGCTTAGTCACACTGCTAGGGACATAGCAAGGACCTAACAAGTGCCTGCTTGGCGCATTGTGCAGAAATTAGCAAGAAGCCATGCATTTCAAAGCCAAGATGAGAACCTCAACGTGTTCTTGTTATGTCTGCTCCATGCTGAAAGTCGCGTCCAGCCCACACTTCTGCTCCTGGGCCGTGTCAGAGAACAGTGAGCTGATCAGCTGGGACTCTCGGCTGCCAGGTGAGAAGAAGGCTGTTTTGGATCTATGAGGATGTGTTAATTAAAAAGTGCAAGTGTTCCAGGGCCAACTATTGCTCCTGTGCTTGCTGCGGGGCAGTGTAAATTGGCCCAGTTCTTTGGGAGACTGCAAGATTAGTGGTGACTAACACGGGTGCCGAGACTAGACTTCCATACACGGATTAGCTCTGAGATCTCCAGGTTTAACTTCTCTGTGCCCCAGTTTGTTCACAAGTCAAGTGGAAATGAGAAGACCTCCCAGATGTAAGCGAGGTGTGTGGAAGGCATTCCATAGGGTTCACAGCCCATCTGAGCCAATGATCATTATTATTACTGGCAAACAAGTTGGTGAGAAGTGGGAGGCACTTGACAGCACCAGGAAATAATGTAGACAGATGTTCCCTAGTGGCCCAGAAAGTAAGCCACAGGCCTCAGAACGAGGCAGGTACACTGAGGAGCATGCTGGGAGCAAGGCAGCAGGTGCATGGGAGGCTGTGGCTCCTCTTGGGAGAGCTACGAGCCCTTCACAAGTCCCCGGAGGCAGCTGGAGACGCAGGACTGAGGCCTCCTCGCATCCATGGCTGACGGCTGGAGAAGGGTCCGAGACCCAGGAAATACAAGTGATGGCAGGGACGTGGTGAAAATATCAGGAAAGCCACGAGGTAGCCCAGAGCAGAAAACGAGCAGTGAGATCCGAGCCACAGCGCGAGGGTGGGCGCAGGCTCGCTGGGTGTCAGCCTCTTGCTGGGTCCAGACTTGCTGCAGCTCTGCAGAGAAGGTAACACTGGGGAGAGGAGTTGTTTTTTAACCTCATTCTTTTTCCAAATTTTCCACTGGCAGGATTTCAGGGAAGAATGCATTCATAACTTGAGTAGAGTAACATGAGCTACTAAATTTAGCTTCTGTTCTCGGCAACTGTTCTTAATGTAAGAAATACCAGAGGGGCTGGCGTTGTGGTGTAGCGGGTGAAGTGACCACCTGCAGCATTGCATCCTGCACACGTGCTGGTTGTATATCAGCTGCTCCTTCCTAATGCCTGGGAGAGCAGCAGCAGACGGCCCAAGCGTTGGGCATCCTGCAGTCCACAGGGGAGACACGGATGTAGCTCCTGGCTCTGGGCTGCTCGGCTCTGGCCTTTGTGACCATCTGCCAGGAGAGTTCAAAGTGGGTGACTTGTCAACTTAGGGATAACGTGCTTCGTTTTTCAAACATTTTACTGCAGTTTCAGCTTTTGTCCAGTCAGAATAAGTTTATCTCGCAAGTGTTTGTGTGTGTGTATTTAAAGAGCTTCGAGCAGCCGTGGGTATTCTGCACCGTGCCTTGAGGAAGAGCGAGGAGCCCTAGCCGGCAGGAAGTGCCACACCAAAGGAAATGCTGAGACCTTCTCTTGCTGCCCCTCTTGTTAATGACGGAAGAGGTCTGAAGACAATCCACAGGGATGGGAATACAAGAAACGGAAACAAAATATAGATAAATGGGGAGCAGGTGCCCAAGGAGACAAGATGCTGCGAGCAAACAGCTTGGATGTGTGCGTGCCAGCAGTAAGATGGCGCTCCGTCATCCAGTGCCTTTCAGAATCATGTCCAGTTGACATTAAGCTATGATTGCTATTTTATATTAAAACTCGTCAAAAAACATTGCTTTAATAACCACATTCATATGCATAGTTTCACAATTCTCAATTTCATATTTCTACTTTTTTATATGCATATTATAATTTGTCCTCCTTACTGACTTTAAAAAAAGACTTTAATTGGAAAGGCAGATCTGCAGAGAGGAGAGACAGAGAGAAAGATGTTCCGTCTGCTGGTTCACTCCCCAACGGTGCGTTCATGTGGTCCACCTGCACGGACCTCTTGGCTCCTGGGTTTTGCCTGGCCTGGCTCTGGCCATTGTACCGGACTGAAGGAGCAGACGGAATATCTCTCTCCATCTCTCTCTGTATCTCTGCCTTTGAAATAAATAAATGAATCTCTTTTTAAATAAAAAAAGCATAAAATATTAACACAAATTAAAAAAAACTGAATATACTAAGAAATATGTCCCACTCCTAAACAGCTAGAGGCTGTTAATTTTCGCCAGATTAATTTATGAAAAAGTAATTTTGCACATGAAACTTTGTACCAAGGAAAAATGAAATGTACTAATCACATAGCTAACACCACCATTTGTCACTAAATTACATTCCCAGGCTAGGCAAACACATATAGGAACTTAACCACCTCCTATTTTTATTCTAGAGGTACACGCAGGAGACACTGCTTGTGTTGCTAAACGTAGTGAAAGAGAAGGGGGTTGTCACTGCCAGCTCCGGGTCTGTGGGGCAGGTGGGAGGTTGGTGCTGAGACCCGGGTCGGAGGGAAGCAGCTGAGAGGCCTCAGCCAGGACTCCGGGAGCGGCCTGTGCTGGCGGCAGGCTGCCCTCAGCCAGGACACAGGGCTGCCTGGGATGCCAGCAGCTGTCCTGCAAGGGATGTGTGCTAAGTCGCCCGTCCCCCTCCAGGGGCCACCACGCCTTGATCATTTCCAAGTCACCCACGTGTACTCAGCAAATACTTGCAAAATTAGGAAACAGTTCTTGAGAAGAATTTGCGAACAGCGGCCAGGAAGCTCACGGCGGCTCCGGAGCCACTGGCCACCCGCGGGCTGGACGGGTGACTCTGGGTTGCAATCCTCGGGCGAACCCAGCAGAGGGCGATGAGGAGCCGCTCGCGTCCTCCAGCTCTCCCCAGGGTCAGGAGGCGGGCGTGCGGGCGGAGGGACCGAGCGGGGCCGACCGCGGGGAGCAGACATTACTGGCGCCGGGTTGTGGGGCGCGTGTTCCCGCAAAGACTAATCCTGCAGCTGGCTGAGGGCCAGTGTGCAGCCCGCGCCTGGCCGGGTCCTCACTCAGCGCTCTGCTGTAGGCGCTAGGCAGAGCAGGACCACGTAGCGAGCCTCCCTCGGGAGCTGGCCGCTCACTACCCAAGGAACACTCCTGGAAAGCTCTCCAGGCGTCTTCCCGCTCTGCGGGTTAACAAGGGAGACGCAACCTGGGGATCCACCGGGCAGCCGTTCCGGTCCTGTTAATGACTGGGGTGTTGGCTTTGCTGTTTTAATGGCATCATTGTTCAATGACAGTCCTTGGCAGGCTGTCTCAGTCACCTGTGTGCCTGTATTTCGTGGGGTGCACCAGGCAGTCGGTTTTAGAGTTATGGCAGCATGGCCAGGAGACCCACGTTTGTAACAGAGTCGAAGCCAAAGAAGGGAGTGCAGAGGGAGTACGCATTCCAAATCACAGGGCTTTTTTTTTTTTTAAGATTTAAGATGTCGGTCTGCTCCCAGTCGCAGACCCGATAGAAGAGCCTGGAAACTCATTTGTCAGGACATAATACAGGTGAGCACAAGAACCAAGGCAAGGAACAGCCCCAGCCAGGCCAGATTGCAGTACCTGCTGGCATACCTGTGGGTCGGATCTGGGGCAGGCCAGGCTGGGCCAGTTCACAACATCCACTGGCAGATATGAGAACCAGGACAGGAGCTGTGGGGTTGGGCCTCAATACCAGCCAGTTCACATTAGGGCCAGGACTGGGAGCTGTTTGGGCCGAGCTAGGCTGTAGCACCTGCCAGCAGGAGCTGGGCTGAGCAGCAACTACTACTGGTGGATGCCAAGGTGAGGTGAGCCTTGCCAGCCTGGGGGCAGTGTGTGCCATACCCGTGAGCCCCAGGGGTGGATGATCCAGGGGACCTGGGTCACCAGGCCTGGGTCTTTGGGCCTGCAGTGTGGTGGGTGCAAGGTCCGTGAGCCCCGGGGATGGAAGGGGCCCACCTGCAAGGATTGGGCCTCCTCAGTGGAAAGGACGAAGCAGTGGACGGCAAGCCCAGATACACATGGAGGATATGTGGCAGTCCATTGGGGTCTGCAGAGGACACCTGGTGGTATGGCAGAGGAAGAAGGCCAAAATAAATTGGACAGCTACACTAGCCAAACCATGACAGCAAAAATCCGGGCGAATGGAGACTGTAAGTTCGACTGTGTCAGCCAATGAACACTGGAAGGGCTTCCTCGTCTTTGGACAGCTTCTCAGAACTAGCGAACTCACTTGAGCAGAGCTCTCAGTGCAGGTGCATGGCCACTTTGGAACCCTGGGTTGATGGCAGGTGGCCGCTCCCATCCCTGGGCACTGTAGCGGGTGGCAGGCTGAGTACAGTCTCTCTCTTTGTCTTCCCTGCTTCCCCCAGAACAGGAGGAAGGAATGGGAGATTTCAGAACAATGATCAGACCCACTTTTTCCTCAGATTATGAGACTGACACGCTGCCTATTACGCTAAGAAGGCAACTAACGCCCACTTTTCCTGAACACTCAGTCCACCCTGATCAACCAGGTAAGCGTCATCAAAAATAAAAACAAAAAAAACTTTATAAAGATTTAATTTTTATTGGAAAGACAGATTTACAGAGAAAAAGATCTTCTGTTTTCTGATTCCCTTCCTGAGTGGCCACAGCAGCTGAAGTTGAGCCGATCCGAAGCCAGGAGCCTCTTCTAGATCCCCCACACGGGTGCAGGGTCCCAGGGCTTTGG